TTTAACTTCAATGATTGAAGGACGAACGGAATTTGAGAGATTTATTCATGTCGATAGAATCGTAATGTATAGCGTAATACAAATTTTAACGTCCCATCCGGTATACCGAAAATTAAATTCAACGAAATATTATCAGTGTTTTGACAAAAAGAAAAGGATGATGATGTTGCGCTTAACGAGACTCTGCAAATAAAATGTAACGATTAACTTCCCGGCCGCGATAAATCACGATAAAGGCATCCGCGCGCGTAATTACGCGGCATGTCTTCGAGTTAATTTGAGGATTTAATGCGCGATACGTCGCGCCAAGTTTTTACCGTTTTCACCGAAAAGAAATAATCTCGAGCGACGACGCATAAATCACGACGCAGGGCTCGGGACGCGATTAACAAAATAACTTTCACCTCGGACTGGTCTCTTTAGTAACACGTCGTAACATGTTGCGGAAGCAGAACGCATCGATGTGTCCTTTTCACCGATCTTCTTACTGATACATCGATCCGCAAATAAAAAATTCCACAGCGAGATAAACTTGATACAACGTAAATTCATCGGATATTTATTTTCGTTTCTCTCAGTGATAAAGATAATTACCGAGTAAGCTTTTCTGAAACAAAATCTAATTCTATAATTATGTTTTTGCTTGAAAAAAAAAGGATGTTTTTGCTTTAGGAAAGAATAAATCATGTTTAATTAATCATTCATCTTTAATTGCACGTAATAAGACGTTCTCTAAACAAAAAAAAATTATTCCTATATTAATAATTGAGATTTAATATCCTGTTATCGTAGGGTTGGCGATGTAGAAGACGTAGAAAATTGCTAATCATTCGATAAACTTGGTCAAAATAGGGGATGCAGGAAGCGGTTCGACGAATTTAGAGCAAAAGAATCTCGCGTTTAAGGCAAAATGCACACTCGAGAGTCTTGTTATCGAGGATCACTCGCGGAGAGAATGAAACTCTCAATTGGACACTCATTAAGTGTCGCTCTCAATGTACGCCGGAAATTTTACTGTCGAGGATTGCTCGCGAGGGAATAAAACTTTCAAGGGCCACTCCCGGCGACGTATGCAGCTTTACTGTCGAGAATCATTCGTCGTTACGGGACACCCAGTTTTTTAAACAAACTGAGAAGAGGACCAAATATATTTATAATTTTTATTTCTACACCATTTAAGTTTACGGCATCTATTTGGTTCTCTGGGAAAATTCTTAAAGCAGGATTGTTCCCTTTCGAAAAATCGTAAGTTTTTTTAATGCGGCAGTATTAGATATCAAAGAAACAATAGTAATCTAATCTCTTGAGCGAAATAATATTTTATTAACTTTCATGTATATTAAAATGTAAATCAATTCATATCTGTAGTTAATTTCAAAATGAACAATGTTTATGATAATGTATACACATTTAGTAAATAATAAAGTAGATTTAAGTCGAAATTGATACATTTATTAAGTATTTATTCCAATATTTTCGTTAAATTAACGATATATTAAATAAGATTTATAGAACTGATTAAAAATAATTCAAATTAGATCTATTTTGACATTAAGAATTTAAGTCTAGGATCAAATTTAAGTCGGAAAAGCATTTGATTATCCTTTCGATCCAAACAAAGTCACTTCATCCAATGAAAACAATATTCTAAATTGATCCGCACCGAAGTGAAAAAAAAAAAAAAAAATTGAGAGTTGGAAATTAGACTAATGTTTTTTTTTATGACCCCTCGCTAGTAAACGAGATTTATTAAAACAATTTCCCGATAATAAGATTGTAAATACACGTAAAAACACAATAACATAAAATGTATATAAAGCCACAAATTAAGAAAGACAACTGCGTGACGTCCCTTCTCATAAAAAGACATTGTTTCTTTAAAAAAAAGTTGACTAAATAGGACTTCTAATCTAATCGCATAGTATACATTTTGAAATATATAGGAGAAAATATTATTTTTCATTTATAGATAAAAGGCAACGGAGGTACGCATTACGGTGCGCGTGTCGGCGATATACCTGACAAGGTCACAGTTCATTATGATGCAAATTTATGTCAATAGAGAAAAAATAAGTATTCGCCACGCGAGCGATTTACGATATCTCTTATCGACGAGCTCTCACGAACGACTTATCTATCTTCAGAACGTTCGGAACGCATTCGTGTTATCTCCGATTAGAATTTAAACGTTTTATCTTCGTTATCTCGACCAAGGTAACTCTTGCCATATTTTCGATTACGTTAATTACAAATTTGTTAAAACTTTATTACATCGCTAATACCTTTTTAGTATCATTCTATACAATTATATTTATATTCAATTTTGAACGTTATAATTATCTATCTAAATTATATACTCGGTATATCCACATTCACTTTCCGAGCAAATTTATAAAGACAGAGAAATTTTGTAAGAGCACTTGAATAGGGAAATAATAACGCATTATTGTGTTTTGTGTTAAAGCCGTTTTCTCTCTCTCTCTCTCTCTCTCTCTCTCTCTCTCTCTCTCTATCACTCCCTTTCGCGAAGAGAACTCGCGCGCACAGCAAGTGGATTTTCATCTCTCGCTGCTCGTTCGCGCGAGAAGAGCCTGCGTCGTGAATACCGTTACACGCTGCGAAGAAATAGTCGGTACACGCATTACGACGCGACGAGATGCGATGCAATGTGAACCGCGAGGTAGGAACATGTTCGCGTTGCTCGCGCGAGGAGAGCGACGGCGAGATCATTGTGCTATCAGTCGCCGATATCGCCGAAGCGCGTTCCAAAGGCCGGTGCACGGACGTCGGTTAAACTCTAACCGCGATTAAACCGCGCGAGTGGCCGAGCTCGAGTCTACGAAAACCAGAATGTCTCTCAGCATAATTTGCTGACCAAAGTATCCGGTTGCTTGGAAAATAATAGCCAATCCATTTG